AGCAAACGAAAGAGATATTATATTATGGAACGGGAAAGGTTACAAGCTGGCACGAATTAGCTTCATTATTTAGAACTTCAGCACGACAAAAATAATAACAAAACAACGGTAGTGACAACAGTTAAATAACGATGACTGTAACAATTTTTGGTAGCGTTGAAATTTCGTGCTGCAATTTTTTTTAATCTATTACTGTTTATCTTTAGCACTGTTCTTCATTTTCTTGTTATCAGTCATAGTACGTGACTTTGATAAAGAGCAGTTATTGTGGAATTTAACTGTTTCTATCTTAGAAAGAGAAAAAATTAAATTATATGCATTTAAACATATTCAGCCTACTTGATCATGTTTTTAGCATATCGCAGTTGTTGGAGTTTTTGAAAGGTTTTTGAAAATAGCTAATCATTATATATATATGATACAGTGAAAGTGCCGGAACACGATCCAACGCGAGAATCAAGGAGACGGAAAAAAGGATTAACCTCCTATCTGCAGCACATCATTATATATATGGCAAATAACAAACTACATATTCCAAGTAATAGATTTGTTGCAAGTATATGTATTACTATGAAAATAAATGTAGTAAATTGCCTTCAGTAGAAGAAAATGTAATTTGTTGTGCAACCAAATCTGAAAGCAACCTTAATGAAAAGGAATATGATTCTGAGCATTAAAAATTACTAACATTTTTTTAGAAGATTGTGAATTATTTTAGCTTGTTACTTGATGATTTGTGTAAAAACCACTTGTGTATTGAAGATATATGCTAATGATTGAAAAAAATTTGACTGTATTCATCTTTTATCGGTTCAATAGATTCAAATAAATACTTTCAGTAACCATCTCTTGTGAGCTAACGAATTAATTCCGCAGACTTCCGTTTCATTTATGAATGAAATGCATTTGCTGAGTAACTGCTTAATATGCATGTGCAGATGAAATGTTAAAGATGAGTTTGTAATGAATGCCAGATAATATATTGCAATAAAATATCATTATTACTTCTGACTTTGTCGAAAAAATCAAAAGCAAGCAAAAATAGTGCAAAAAGTGCACGCACACATTTGAAAAATACAAGTAAAGTATGTGCAATGTTATATTTTTGCATCGTTTAATGTAAATAATAGCAGACAATAATTTTTTGCTATTTCAGTGTACAAACATGGAGTTGGAGAGGTTTCATATCAACATCCGAAAAAAAACTCAAAAATTTTCCTAGTGCTTAATAATTAGAAGGAAAGGTGAAAAGACGTTCTTGAAATACGCTAAGAATAGATTATTTTCTAAAATTAGTGAGTTTTTGAGAGAAGTTGAAAGGTTTTTGACACTGCTCGGAGATTATACTGCTGTATGTTTGCATGATTCATATATGCCTAAAAATCATTGAGAAGCATTAAGCCTCCTACTTACACACTGACAGATTATGCTCAAATTAGAATTTTTCTACAGCTTATTAAGCAGGGCGAAAATTTTGCCACTCATTTTGTTTGTATATAGCATCCATCAAAAGAAGATAGCATCAAAACAAATCTGTTTGCACACATTGTAAGCAAATTTAACTAGCATGCATACAAGTGTGATATAGCACTTCTTTATTATCATATTTGCTGTTTAAGAAAGCAGAAAAACTGCTGAAATTTTATCTAATTTTTAATTTAATTCTTCGTTCGCACATTAAAAAATTCTAACAAATTTAAAAGAGTGATTAATAAGCAGAAATTAATATAAAATAATAGCGTTCTAAGCTAGCTAGTCAGCGAGATGCGATTTTATGATACTACTACTAAATGAAGCGATGTTGCTGTGCGAAAGAAAGGTCAAGAGAAGATTGAAGGGAGATATTAGTAGCGCAAGAAAAAAAGCTCAAAATTTGCCATTGATTTAGTAATCATTTGTTGATGATGTCAATGAGGTGAATGTCGAAAGACGTTGTTTGTTAGCAAAGTATTGCATGTCTGAGTGCATTTTTATCTTTACTTTATAGTGCGAAAAAAAAATGATATGGAAGAAAATGTAAGAGAAATTGTTGTTGCTGGCATAAGGTAAAAAGAAAAGTTCGTTTCACTTTTTACGTTAAGATACAAATTAAGGCGGAAATATGTACTAAGAATCGTTTTAATATTGTTATTTACATGAAGAATATTTGTACTCAGATTTAGTTGCCAAGAATCCATTGAATTGCGTGGTTTAAAATGAAGTACTGTAATGATAGAGAGAGAAAATGGCTTGCATCACCGATGGATAAATGACTCATTTATTTACTTCATTGTCATAATTACTACGGTGACAGTAAAACAGTAATAATACAAAAAATTTGTTTCAAATTTAATGACATATTAAAATGCAAAAATAATTATAATAGCAGAAATAATTTGCGCTTAGGCGATCTAAAGGCTGAACAGCAAGATAAAAATTTAGATTGAGTCAAGTAAAACAAAATATTGATGAAAAATTTTTGCAAAAATTAAAATTTGTACTAAATTATTTAATATTTTATTCTTTTATTCTTATCAAGACTTACTGCATGTGAAGTAAGCGCATTTTGCTTCATTTTTAGATGAATTGGCAAATTCTGCACAAATTTATCCAGCAAATATTCTTTTTCACGCAAATTCATTGCACTTATTTTTTATACTTCCATATTATTTGTTTATTTGATTCCACTTGTAAATATCCTTTTTTAGCTACAGTATCAAGCAAAATAATCTGCGCATTGTAATTTGTAATTTATTTATATTCAACTTGTCTTTCAATCAAATATTTCTAACTTTCTAAATTTCCTAAATTTTTTTAACAGCTACACGCAAAACCATCAACATCACAAGATTGTCATCTACATTTATTTGTCAACAAAAGGGAAGCCATATTTTTGAAGAAAAAAAAATCCTATATTTTCGTATTTGCTTTAAAATTTTAACATTCTTATATTTTGCTATATCACTGTTGTTAAGTTAGTTAAGCTTCATGCTTACGTGTATTTAAATTTTATTTTAATCAAAACAATCTTTTTTTTCAAATCATTCAACTGTAAATCACCATTAATAATTCAATTAAGCTGTTAATCAATTTTTAGTAAAGTGAATACATTCAAAATTATGCTTTACCTTTATCGTAGTATCAGTTTTTTAAATCTTATTTTTTGTTTACTGAAAAAAATGCAAAGGAAATTTAGGTGCCAGGTATTATGCTTGTCTCAAAATTATAGAGAACGATCAATGAAAATGTCTAATAATTAATAAAATATTTTTTTAATGTTCTAATAATTATGTGTGCAAAATATTTGAAGAAATTAATGCATATGTGGTTGAGGAATAAACTCGATATGCATGAATATTTGTATAATTTTGAATTTAATCTAAGCAATTTTTACGTCAAAAATGATACACTTCACTGATTAAACTTATTAAACAATCCGAAATTAATGAAAACAATTAAAACAGCTTTTTTCATATTTCAACTGATTACTTCTGCTTGCATCAAATAAGTTTAAAGAAGTAAGAGGTAAAAGTATTTTTCTGATGATAATGTTTTCGTCTCATAAATGAATATAAAACTTGTCATGAAGTGCAATTTTATGTACTACATATATAAGTTCAAATATTCGTTAATTTCGTATGTCATTTAAATTACTGTATTGCTATCAGTGATCAAATGATTTTTTTTTAATGTGATAGAAGTGTTATGAGTTAAGTGTACAGAATGTTTCTCACAAAGCTTTGGATCAAAACATACTGCAGTTGAAAAGTTAGCGTTTGCAGCTTTAAGTGTTGAAATAAGAAGGTGGAAGATGATTACGAACGCTACTATTATTATGCTTTTTAAGTTAGAAAAAAAAGTAGTAACTTATATTTAAATTAGAGCTTCTCGTTTATTGGACAAATATTTTCTAATAAGAATTTGTAATAAAAAAATCAAAAAATTGAAATTGCAATGAAGTGTTCAGTCGCTATATCTCAATTTAAGAGATGTATTAGCAATTTCAGTAAGTATGACATATCTTTTACATGCATTAAAAATAAAATTGATGAATGAGTCTATTTCTACTGCAGATAGTAATTTTATCTCATAAACAGAGAAAGTGGATTAAAGTTATAACAGAAATCGAAAGAAAAATATTCCCTAAATTAGTAATATAAATAGTTTCAGAAAAGAAATAATTGAAGGCGAAAATTCGAGACTGATTGAATGTTGTACTCGGTTGAAAAATACCAAAGAAATTATTGGAAATCCGCAACTTGATTGATGTTCATATTTAAAGTCAATTTCACATGATTCTGTTATAGCCAAACTTTAATTACAGCACTAAGGATTATATCTTTGAAATTTGATGTTAATCTTAATAAAAGCTATAGTAAAGTGATTTATGAAAATAAGGTAATATTTCTAGTCTTGTCCTAATGAACATTTTAATTTTAAACAATGATATAAGCAACTTTTTCACATACAATAAAGTTGTTCAAAACAAAATTAGCTTTTATATATTGGAAAATAATCGAAACAATAATATTTAAATTCTGAAGACTTAATGAGTAATTTCGAAGAATGTTTAATATTTTAATTTTGTCAGGCTAACAACTCCAAATTAAAAGTATGTTTAAATTTTAGCATGTTAATAGTTGCAAATAGTTTTGCGGTGGGAAGGTTCGTTGCATTTAAAGAAGCTTAAATTCTTGATACAAAAGTTTAGCTTGTTTTATTTTCTAACTTTATTGATTACTGAATTGAGTTTTATTGAAATAATAAATTCAGTAACATGGAATAACTTGTATTTATTTTCATTGCATTACTTCTTCTTATGCGAAGTATGAATTTTCGTTTATCTGCAAAAAACAATGCATGCTAAAACTAAGTAACCATGTTACATTGTAAATACAAAGGTATAAGTAAATTTTACAATATTAATAACATTTTTTTTAAACTACTTTTACCCTTGGTAAAAAATTGATGAATTAGAAATAGTTGTAAATAATTTATAACATTTTTAGTACTAATAAAATATGGGTTCCGTATTTTGGGGTGAAATTGAAGAAAATGTAGAAAATATATGCGGTGTTGTTGATTATGATAAGCATGCATTCTTTATTACAAGCACTGAAGATGATCCAGTTGATCGCGAGTATACCACACATCAAGTATATGATGACAAAGCACCTGATACTGTATAATTTTCCTGCTCTTTTCGCTTCATGAGAAAACTTTTAATTACAAAGTGTATGCTGAAATTTTGATTGAATTAAATGATTTATAAATGCGTTGCATAAAGTAGACAAGGTATTTAATTACAAATATTTTACAAAATTTTCAACTTCCATTAAGTTATTTATGAGCAATTTGTTCTTTCTGGCTTAAAATTGAAGTAAAATAATAAACGACAGCAATAAGCTGACAGAAATATGCTAATTCTGAAGTAGTTAAAAACCTTGAAAATTATTCTGATCAAAAGTGAGCTAATAAATGAAAAATGAAAATAACAAGCAAAGAATCAACAGAAAAATATGCAAAAATTAATTTTAGTTACTACATTTATTCACTTTTTTGATCTGTCCATTAGAGATCATGCATTGTAGTCACGTGGTCAAAAAGTCATACTTTCTGTAGTAGTATATCGTGAAATCTGATTGCTTCAAATATATTTTATTCTACTCTCTTCAACTTTTCAAAACCATCATAGTTTTTTGTTTCAATACATTCCTTCAACAACTTACTTCATATGTAAATGTAAAGATTCCAGAAAGAAAAATAAGCTTTATAGGTAATGCATTTACTGATTGCAAGACATGATAAAATATTAGATCGAAAAAATACTGCTGTACATCGAATTGTCAAAATTTTGCAAATGACGAAAGGCCGCTCAGTGCATTTCCCAAAACTTATTTGTTTCGGCCGTTTCAGGAAGGTATATTTGATTTCAGACGTAATTATGATGAAAACAATATCTATTGAAATGTAATATTTGATTTGCCATTTCGTGATGAATAAAATATTTGCAGATAATTTTTGGAGAAAACGGAGATCAAGACGCTGAACGGGATCCCGAATGGATTGGACGACCATGTGCAGTTCTCGAATACAACGCCTCACTAATAGGATCATTACTTCCGCTCTCACCTTCAGGTGTTCTACCATTAGATTTAGCTTTGGTGATAATGATGGGTTGCGTTCGAGCACTAGCATCGCTTCATCGACTTGGCTTTGTACACCGACTTGTTTCACCTTTCAGGTTAGACAAATTGTACATCACATCACTCTGTTTTGATAATTTCTAGTCTTTATCAAAAAGTCACAAATTTTAAAACTGAGCAGAAATTATTCAGTAATGCAAAAGAGATGTCCTAATATCTGAATATTTTTATCACTTCTGAGATCACAATATATATTGTTAGAATGCAATAGATGAAATAAAACAATTCGATCAACTGCAATATGAATATAATATTACAGCTTTGCATTCCGTAACCCAATCTCTTATGATAGCCTCGAATCACGCATCATAATGGTGGACTTGAGCTTAGCTTTACCATGGCCTTGCAAGCCACGATCATATGTACCATTTGTTGGTACTATGCGGTACAGTTCCGTACGAGTACATCGAGGTAGAGAGCAGGTGAGAGTACTACTAACAAATGATAAATTTTTCAGTTTTTTTCAAATATCAAATTAACGATTACTTAGAATTATAAATTCTTCAATCTCATAAGAGACGAAAAAGTAGCTCAATATGAAACTATGTTTAAGGGCCCATCTGATGATATCATCTCATTAATTTATGTGGTAGCGGAATTAATCTCGGGTAAACTTCCATGGCGTTCAGTATTTGAAGAAAATCGCATTTGTGACATGAAATGTTTATTTTACGAACACATAGAATTTAAACGGCTTCCTAGAGAAATTAGATCACTTTATCGGTATGAGCAGAGCTTTATTAGTAAGGTATATAATAGCGGTAGATGAAAACTGACAAATTATTGAGATTTGTGACTAAAACATAAAAACAATTATTCCTGTTTAATTCCATCATAGAAGAAAATAATCCATAGAAGTTTATATAGAATTACAAATAGAATTCAAAAAGTAGTGAATAAATAAGTCGCTCCAACTAAAAAGTTTGCCAATTACAACAAATTCATTATAATATTATATTCCTCTATCTTAAATGATTAATCTTCATTTCGTTTTTCGTACATTTTACGCAAACATAAAAATATTATCCAGAAATTACAGATTGATGTACATGACACTGTCGCCTTATCCTATCGATCATAAGCTTATTATTGAACAAATTCAAGCATCTCTCAAACGGCGTTTCCCAAATAGCAAACATGAGCTTCCTCCTTGGCTTGCTTTGCCAATTGCCGAAGAATAATTGCCATATCTGCTGGTATCCGGCCCGGCAACATTTGACAATATCAAAAAAATAATATAGTTACTGACAATACATAACAATAGTATGTAGTTTCAAACACTGTAGATTTAATAATTAATAAATCTTGCTGCAAAACACTACATCACCACTCAAGAAGTAACTCATCTCGCTTAATGATATTCCTTCATGTTTGCTTCCTATGTTTCAATGAGTGCAAGCAATTTTCTTCCACTTAAAAAACACAAAAAAATCCAAAATTCTGACTTCTTTATAATTCTGTGAGTACAAGTAAAATGAAAAATTATTACGCCATTAGAGACTTAAAAGTCAGATGACTAGCGAAAAGATGGCGAGAGAGAGAAATTAAAGATATTCACTAAACATGAGAAATGAAGTAAAATTCGCAGTCAATTGTACTCATTGTTATGCTAAAATATTTGCTAAATAAGTGTGCAAATTTTCAAACCATTTTTACGATTATAATCACACTACACTTGTTGAAATGGAAAGTGGCATAATTTATTTACAAAAAACATATTCACAATCAAGGAACTTTGGTGATTTAAGAGCTATAATGATACAGGGGTTGCATAGTGACCCAATTGTGTTTTTTTAAGTCTCAATCATCACTAGAACAGGCAAATTTTTCCTTAATTGTTAACTTTGGGAAATGCGGAAATTATTAGCAACTAATTACTCTCTTATCCATTACACGTAAGTCATTACACTTAATTGTCTCATGAATTTTTTTTCCATTGATTAACTGTAAAGGCCTGTAAATAAATTTTTTTTGCATACAGTGTTTTCAGCTCAATCGAAATCTTCACTCTCTTTGTTGCATACATTTTTTTCTCCTTCAGTATTTCATTAATTATGTTCATACTCTTACAGTCCATAAGCAGAATGCTTATTGAATTATGAGGAAAAAGATGATAATACAACTACTGCATTGATTACTTTTGTGTGATATATATCATTTTGCAAAGAATTTTTTAATGAATTTCATCATTTTGTTATCATTAGTTCCATGATAAGTGTTCATCAGAATAATATTGATATTTTGTCTCAGTAAAAATAAAAATCCGTTTTATTTACATGTTAACTGGAGAAGAAAAGCACGCATCATTTTAAATGGTTGAATCAATTAATACTACTTCTTCACCAAGCTGTATTAAGTTGATTGGGAAAAATAACCGTATTTTCGATTTTTCGCGTTTTCCAAGACGACGAATTGCTCTCATGTTTCTTTATTTTGGTTGGGAATACAACGGATTGGTTGAGCAACGAGAAATCACTGGGACTGTAAGTTTAATCATTTGTTTTCACCTTATGCTTAAAAATTTATTTTCCATTATCATGCTGTACAAAATTAATGCTTTAAATTTAGTTTCACTGTTGTCATTCTTTACTATTTTTCACGTTAACTCATTATTTTTTTGGAATGTATTACAGTAGTTGTACTACCTCAATTCATACATTACTTTCTATCTTTTACCTTTTCTATATAATTGATAAAATGAGCACTTACTTACACTGTTGCGTACTATATTGCCAAGTTTATCGTGAAAGCTTGAAAGATAGGCGAAACAAATTATTATAAGTTGATAGGGTAAAAGCAAACGTATTTTTGATGTTTCTCATTGATAGGTAAATTATAGATAGTTTGTTTTCACTGTGTAGGTTGAGGAAAAAATGAAAGAAGCGTTAATAAAAACAAAACTTATTGAAAGTTGGGAAAGTTGTGGTTGGAGTCGATGTGGTAGAACTGATAAAGGTGTATCTGCTTTCAAACAGGTTGCCTCTCTTATTGTGAGGTTTGTGGATTTATTTTATTCAGTCGTTTCAGCTCTTAAATGTTGCTATCTAATACTTTATGTTCTGCTTCCATTATGTGAAGTAGTAGTAGTCATTGCTTTGTTAGTTTATCATGAAAATCAAGAATATTTCGATCTGTACAAATCTATGGTTTAAAAATTGCTTTTAAAAACTTTTCCATATGTAGTCGAGACGTGTAGTTCAGTAAATCGTACAGTTCTCACATCTATTTTCCATACCTAAGATCTACTGACGTAGACGGAGAAGGTGTTTCTTGGTCTGTCACTGCCAGTGAGTCCAGTAGAATTAAAACAACGGAAGAACTTAATTTTGTGAAAATGTTAAATGGCACATTACCAGCAAATATTCGAGTGATAGCTTGGGCTCCAGTGGCGAATGACTTTAATGCTAGGCATCAGTGTATTCAACGTACTTACACTTATGCATTTCCAAAAGCAAACTTCGATTATGAGGTGAGACTTTACAAAGTTTTCGATTTTCATCTTAATCTCATCCATGTTAATCTTCTGTGTGGTGTTTGAAACCACGCGGCTTTTTTGTCGGTTAAAATTATGTCGGGACAAATCATTTTTGTACTCCATATAAGTTTGCTTTTTGTAATATAAATTTCTGAAAGGTCTTCAGAGTATGCAGAAAGCATGTACGTTTCTCATTGGTGAACATGACTTCCGTAATTTTTGTCGAATTGATATGAGTAAAGAAAGAATAAGGATGAGTTACGTTCGCACAATCGATTACGCTAATGTTTCAGTTATATCGTAAGTAATTTTCAAACTGCAAAAAAAACTAAAAAATCGAATTATCGGATGTATGTGATTTGCCAAGTTATATATTTAAGATTCTTGCATATTTTTCTAATCATTGTAACAACAAATCTGATTCTTCACTCGTGTGATTTGAAATTGAGACTTGTATTTCAAGAAATGGGCTACTTTCGACTTCTAAACAAAATATTGATCCGATTGATGGCGAATTGTTGCAACTTACAATAAAAGCAAGTGGATTTTTGTGGCATCAAATTCGGTGTATAATGGCTCTACTTTATGAAATAGGTTGCGGTAATGAACAACCAGAAGTAAGTTCCAAAAAGAAACAGTAATGCTTAAAAGATGTCAAGGTAAAGATCAAAAGTACAGCATATATGAGCGCTAATTAAATTAATTTGTAGTCACGCGATGAAGATTAATTTTACTATGCTATGCATTCATAAGAATGGAAAGTTATATGATTAAGTATTCCCAATCTAAAAAATTCCATTCTCGTTTAAGATTATTGCTGAACTTTTGGATATCAACTTAACCCCTTCAAAACCAGTCTATGGATTAGCTCCACCTTTTCCACTTTGTTTATTTGACAGCGTATATGGTGGGGTTGAACCGTTGTGGAAATATGATGTCGATTCGTTGAAATCTATCAAGAAACATATTCTAAAAACTTGGGCTTATTACCAATCGCTGTATGTTTATTAATAATTATTTCTAGTTTTCGTCACTTTTTGTAAATAATTTTTCAATTTTTTATTTTAAACTGACAAAAATAGGAAATTTGCTATTGCTGATTACATGTAGTTCCTTTCGTTACCATCCAATTCTATTTGTGATGGTACAGATCAGATAAAATAATGAGGTTTTGTAATATTTATTTAGATATGATAGAATGGCATTGCAAATAATATGATGTTGATAATAGATGTTTCCTGAATAATTTTATTCTAGATCATTGATCCTGCATAATATGGCTAATGGCATTGATGTGTTTGCGCCAGAATTGCAAAACGATTTTAGTGGTCTGAATGAATATTTGAAGCCAGTTGGAACATCTACCAAAACTTACATACCTATCAGAAAACGACCAAGATGTGACACATTAGAGTTGAAACAGACAAGATTATTACAGAAATACTTAAAATAATTCATCTTTGCATTTATAAGATCATAGTGATATTGACACAATCATATAAAATGTCAGTTTTATATGTAATTACGCTATTGCTGATTATTAATTTTCAGTATCACTTTTTTCCTGTAGCTTATTATTATTAGCTCATATTATCCCTGTACTCAAGGAGTTTCAAGAGAGAGAGTTATAAGAAATTACTGAAATTTTTTTGATCATCTCGAACAGTAGTTGAATTTCACTATCGATGAATAGGGTGACCGTATGCAAAAGTTTTTTTCTAGTTTTTCTAATAAATGAGATTGAATCTTTAATACAAATTGCAGTTTTTTCTTATTATAAATTCACTCATTATTTTGTGTTACCTAACGTCATATATCTGTCTACATCTTGATAAATATCACAGAAATTTTTATGGTAGAGAAACTGAAATATTAAAGAGATAAATAGTAATGTTGTATTAGCATTCGACTGCAAAAAAAATCCCTTTGACTTTACTCCATACTTGCTACTGTTAGTATATCGGTATAATAGTAGGTATTATTTGTATGTGATTAATTGCATGGTTTTCCGAACTTGTTTATTTTATTCCAGCTTTCAAACTTGAATTACATGCTTCTTGCTATTGCAGTGTTCTGCACGATATATTCTCATCTTTATGGATCAAGTTGAGGTGGGTTAAATTAATTTCATTTGGAACTTGTAACTCGTTGTCAACTTCAGTATTGAATTGATACGCAGTGTTTTTTTTAATGGTGGGCGGGTTTATTAACGAAGTATGTCGAGATCAGTATGAGATAATTAAATAGAAATGCTTACTGATATGTTTTCTAGATTTCATTAAAGTTCTAACAAGAGTTATTCTGTGTTTTGTTATGCAAATTACAGCGATATCGAGATAATCCTGAGTGGGACGATATTGCTCCAATACCACTTACGGATGACGAACAAGCGGCTGTCAAAATTGCAACTACTGATGCTTTCAATGATGCATTCATGTATTTACGAGCTGTGGTGCTTAAAAATGAGATGTCTGAACGAGCTTTCAAGTTAACCGAGAAGTGAGTTTGAAGGAAGTACTGTACGGTGTCTTTTTTTAAAGTCATTGTCAAGGTCGGATTTTATGTTTAATGATGTTTCGTTAGTATTCCACCTGTATTTCCGAAAATTTTTCAAGATGCTTGGAAGTTATCGTTTTTTATCATCAATATAATTATTGCCTATCAAAATTTATGAGAATACTTTTAATATTTGGATGAAGTATGAAGTAAGCCTTGAGTCAAATATAAACATTTAGACATTTTTGCTTGCACTTTTTCTGTGTCGGAATTCACTGCATACATTTTTGCAGATGTGTTGACTTGAATCCAGCAAATTATACCCTTTGGCAATATCGTCGCGCCTTGTTGAAATCGTTGAATAAGGATTTGAATGAAGAATTTAATTTCATTTCTGACGTGATCGAAGCTAATCCGAAGAATTACCAAGGTTTGTTGCTGTGTCTGTCTAATCACTTAAGCATTTTTCAAAAAATCTAGTGTTTGCTAATTTTAATCTTAATAAGCAGTGGTTGGAGTTTATGATACAGTCTTTTATCATTATATGCAATTGTTGTACTTCAGTTGTTAAGTAAATTGTGTTGTTAAGTCTGGCATCATCGTCATATTTTGGTTGAGTGGACAAACGACTACAGTCGAGAAATTGAATTCACGTCACGAATGCTTGAAGAAGAGGCAAAAAATTATCATGCATGGCAACACCGCCAGTGGGTTGTTCAGAAATTCAAATTGTTTAGTCAGCGCGAATTGGATTATAGTGCCGGACTTTTGATTGAAGACATGCGAAATAATTCAGCTTGGCATTATCGATACTTTATACTTCAGGGATTAGACGCATTAAAGGTTTCACGTTGTCATAAATCATATAATTTAGCTTCTTAATTTCAAACCATTGAATAAAATTTCAGGCTTAATTTCACCCATTAGAAATGTAGAAGATGATCTTTAGTTAGAAATTGATGCGTGACAGCTCTGAGTACCTGCGAAATACTTCATTGAAATTTTTGAACAACTGCAAATTTAAACTACAGTAACAGGTCTTTGTGTGAGCTTCTCGACGTAAGATTTAGTCATCTAAATTTCTGTCTTTCATTGAAGTACTCTAAGAATTAAGAACAAAAGCATGTAGAAAGATGTATTCCATCATGTGCAAAGACCTCTCATATTAGATGTGTTTGAAATGCAGAAGAGATTGTACTTATTTAAACTCTGAAAGGAAAGAATAAGAGTCCTATTTATTGTATTTTCGGTAAATTTAAGCGACAAAATTAAAATCAAAACTTTGTTTTTTCGATCTCTTAGAAGTAATATTGCTAGCAAGAATTATCGGTGAAGAAATCAATTATATAGATGTGGATGGAGTAAGGAAAGTTTGATGTCTATTATAACTTATAAATTTTGTTAATTGCTTTACTTTAACCTTTGGTTTATTAGTTTGTTTTTTTGAATTCCATATATTTTTGTTTTTTTGAATGCTTTTACAACTCCAGTAACTGATGTACAGGCATTTTAATTTTTTTAAGGATCCCGCTGTGTTTAACCGCGAAATTTCGATGGCTCAGTCGATGATCACCAAAGCTTCAGATAATGAAAGTGCGTGGAATTATTTGAGTGGGATGCTTCTGCATGTATGCTTTATATACTGACATTAAAATATATATTTTATGCAGTTCTTACAATTTTGGTCACCATGATTGAAAATGTGATTCTAATTTTTGCATGTTTTAGCTCGCTTATGAACTAAAAGTAGTTATCTCTGATATTTTTTGGTTGCATCCAGTTCATCAACTGTGCTATAAGTGCTAATGTAACTTCATATTTAGATCTGTGTTTACTTTTAGAATTTTAAAGTCCTATCAACATATAGTGATCATTTCTAGTTGCTGAGCAGTAAATAATATTAAGTCTGTCAAAATGTTAAAGCATCTGTGGCTAGTTTGATCCAGTACTTTTATAAACCGCTATCTGTTAGGGAGGGTTTCCAGCTCGTGGGAATCAGTTCTGCACACAAAATTGTAGTAATTGCTTATATCAACGCTACATCTTTATCATGCTTGGTGGGAAATCAAACATTTTGCAGCAGATAGAATAGAGATGCAGTATTATGAAATACTGAGGGTTTTTTTGTCTTTCAGAGTGGAGTATCTTCACGAGCTGATGTTATGCAATTCTGTGTAGAATTAAGTAAAAAGAAGCGTGTTCCACTTTGCCTTAGTTTCATAGTTGATATGTTGATGGAAAAAATCGAGAAACAAGAAGAAATGCTGGTAAATTGTTAATGAAAAAGTTGTTAAGACGTAATTGTAATGGTAATATTGATTTTTTACAAATATCTCTTTTTTGTATTGGAGGTATAAGTGATTATGAAAATAGAATGATTCAATTGTAGAAAACAAAAATTAAAGCGAATATTTTATTGTGAATAAAATATAGGAAAGTGCTGAACAAGCGCTGGAAATTCTGCAAGAACTAAAGGAGTTGGATCCAATAAGAAAAAATTACTGGGCTTATAACGAGAAGCTTATCAAGAATCGTGTCGAAAGAGAGTAATGCTGTAAGAAGCGAATGATGATTTGAAAGAATCTGCAATGTAATGAAAGTAAATGATGGAAATGATTACAGACTATTGTTTTCTATTGTTAAGAAGTTGAAAAAGTATACTTCATGCTAGATAGCATGAATATGTTTAGGATTCGTCAAAGGAAAACTATTTTTTGCATACTATTATCATAAAGTACTCGAGAAAACTGGTATTTTTGTTATTGCGTTTGAATGATGATCATGTTAAGTATGCATTCTATTTCAGTTTAGCTCTATCTCATTTGTATAGAATTCAATTCTTCACTTTTGGACTGTAATACTATTTTGTCTTTTCATATTTTTTTTGTGTGACCACATAATCTGTTTTTTGCACAGTATTCAGTGATTCTATTTCTTTAATTTTATTTGTAAGTTGCGCTAATTGAAGTTTAACAAAGATTTTAATGCGATATTTTCTCTTCTTCAATACGATGAGTCATCACCCATCGAAGTTAATTTTCTGCATCATTCTTTTTTCGGTTCTAAATTTAAACTGTTAATTTAAGTGAATTATAAGAACATTTTTCAGGCTTTTTCATTTTTTAGGTATTTTTTCAGTATGTACTTCATCCTAGTTTCATTTATAGAGTCATTATAGTATGCAATGTCGGAGAAGAAATTGATTTTGCTGGGATATCCGATTAGTGCTATCGATTATGGAAGTTGGTTTATTCCCTTGCATGAATTATTTAATATTATATGGACGAATTTTGAAATGACTTATTGCAGATTCAGAGCATTTGCGTGAACTAGTACTGTTTTTGGAGCACCAGTATATTAGACTGTATAAAATTGAAGATCGAGATGCATTGGAAACAGTAGATGGCGAGTTATGGAATAAGTCATATGCTGAGGTTGGTTTTTTGATTTAAGGTATATGTAATACCTTATAAGCTCAATCGCTCAACTCTGCCGAGTCGTTGAGCAGCCAGCTATTCGATCGTATTATGAAGTAGGAAAGCAGAAAATGGAGGATAAACGGAAAAAAATCTAACCTGGAACCATAAATCAAAACAAAACAGGTGAGATTGTCGAAGGAAGCTCTGTGAAGGGCATGGAAGGCACTCTATTAGTGTATAATAACTAGTAGAACTGAGTGCCATATGAGTGCAGCAAGAATGCTAGGACATGATCCAACAGGAGAATCAAGAAGACATTTGAAGAAAGATTAACCTCCGACGTGCTGTATATGGTTATATATATATTACTCGCGTATTGACTCTGATCTAAACGCTTTCGTTAGCGACGATTTCCAGCTCCGCAAGCGTGAAAATGCTTTCAGACCATACTTTTTTCAATCTTAAATGAATACAACGTAGCACCTTTTTGTGTCTTCTAGTATAGTCATGATATAACATTTTCTCACACTGGTTTACTAGATGGTCCTCCGTCTTCACACGTTCCCTACAGTATTGGCACATACGTTTCTCAGTTCCAAACATATTTCTATCTTGGAGGTTACAGTATCGTCCTTCATCTTG